CCAGTAATACTTTACCCGACTCTGAAATCGAACCCAAGACCCCTTGCCCGGCAAAAGCACTTGCGACCACTCGGCCAACGAGGCAGTCTTCAAAAAAGTAAATAGTTTCAATTTTCGTTCCTCTTGAATTGCATTGCAAAGCATTATAAGACTTTTTAATACGAAATGTTAAAGATATAAGACTTCTCACTCAGCACACGTAACGTTACTATGGATATTAATCGAGATCATTCTAGTCAAGCAGACGGATTGCAGAAGTGCTGGCAGACTCCCCAATAAGGAAAATTTGAATTTAAAAATCAATAAGTTCACAAATCAAAGTTAATGTGTTGAAGGTGAACGATTATCGAATTATCTCCGTCTCGCCAAATTATCTAATTAAGTGCTACAGGAACCAAGTTCCGATAAATAACCACACCTCGTCTGTGGTCAAAGATCTACCCGTCAAGGAGAACCAAAAGAAGGAAACGTTTTAATACAAAATAATCACAAAAACCGAACCGAAGTCGGAGGTCAAATAAAAAAAAACAACTTACAACTTTTTATTAACAATAATTGCCTACAAATTGCACTATTCTATACACATTAGCGCTCGTATCAATTACTCAAAAGAAATTATTCGAATGATCATGAACCGTATTAGTAAAAAGGCTATTGAGCAAAAATCTCACATGCAGAGACATATCATTTGGACGTGTTCTCACGAACACTAAAAATCAAGTACCAATCATTACATAGAACCTCGTGAACTGACACGTAGGTATATTAATTCCAATAATGACTGTCCGAATGAGCCTTCTTTCGTCACACACCGTATAGAAAACATCAAATACATATAATTAGAGGCATCTATAAACTACGGTAATTGTGAATCGTCTTCTTTAATTACGAAGGCCGGTATCGAAGGTTGTGGAAGAGTGGCTTGTGAAATATATTTTGTTAGTGATGTGCTGGACATGTATTGACATACTAATCGACTAACTGTGCACGACTATGTGCTAATTAAACTGTCGATATAACGTATCGTCACGTAACTAGAGATACTTTCGTGTTGTACTTTGCCAATTACGATGGTCTAATTAAGTGGAGTTCTGTTTTATGGGTCACAAAAATTCTTGCATTGGTTCGAATTGAATGTTTTGTTTGGATTGCGTTTGTTAATTAATCACTTGAACATTTATGATCGATTTAGGCAGACAAACATTCTACTTCTAGATTATTCTCGATCGCAGATTTCACGATTGTTCGGAATTAAATTGAATCTGACTGCTTTTATGGTTTCATTTGAATTAAAATGACACTGTTTTCTTTAATACCTTAAGTGAATAATTTCTAATTTTTTATGTGTTCATATCCTTTACACACGTCACGGAGAACCTAACGGGTTACCGGGGCTCCAGCTCGAAGCGCAGGAGAAGGAATGGGGTGGTTTTTAGTCACTAAGAATCTGACACTCCCTGCCGCCACACCCAGGCGGGATAAGTTAGTCGATGATTTTCGACCCTTAAAAATAAAAAACCCTTTACACACACCACTACTAAGCACAATGATGATCTGAATTTTGTAAATATACACAATATGCGAATAGCACTTAAAAACTCCCAGAGTCTCGCTAGTATTTAAATAAATAAGTACATATGTAGATTATTGTCACAATGTTGGTCAATGTGTTAATATTTACGAGAGCAATGTATCCGTATGCTAAGAGTAATCGCTGCACATTCCGATACACAAAACATCAGACGCTGAGCATCATTATACAATGACAAAAGAACCTTGTGCAACTAGTTAAAATGTATGCTCTCCTGGTACTGGCTGAGTAACAAAGCAATGGTATATTTAAAGAAAATATAGATGTAGAAAAGATATTAAATACAGATTGACATGAAAGAGATTTTTCATGCAAAACAGTTTTCTTTTTGTAATGGATTTCCCTAAAGTGAGGTTGAAAATATTACCAAAATCGGATCATGTAGTTGGAAAAATTCATTATATTATTTTCATATAGAGATCAAAGCGAACCATATTCAATGTTGAGGTCGAAGGTCCGAATCTCAGGCCAAGGAGTTTGGACTTCAGCCAATCGCCTCACCTCCAATTACAATGGCTTACATTACCAATGAAAAGCGTATCTACTTTCCATCTTAACACCGTTACAGATCAGACCATATCTAATCTGTATGTATGCTAAAACCCCCATTTAAAACATATCCACATGCATCTGCAGACGCTACCGATCGGTTCCAAGCACTAACCCTATTCCGCATCACAATAATGTTCTCTGATCATTTCTAAGCGCATTTCTTGCAATCGTCGACTATTACAACTGTATTGTTTAATGTCTGATGATGTTCAACTGTCGTAGATATTGTTCTAGGAATATTAGATGCAATTTATGTAAATTGTATTGTATCTTGTATTGTATTGGTATTGGTAGCTAAGTTGAAATAGATTTGGATGAGATTTGGTTTGTGATGGTAGTTCTGTTATTAGGTTTTGATTGGATTAGGAAAGTTTGATTGGATCCTTGTTGTGATATTTTTTAACGGAGAATGTCCATTGTTTTGTAGAATTTGGAATTACAATACACAAATTAAATACCACGCCTTGGATTGTTTCAAGCAAGTGACCCTGAACTGAAAACAAGTCATATATAAGCTTTGACAACAAAAAAGCCAAGAAATGAGCCTTGGCCTTAAAATAAATTTCATGCTTTTACGGAAAGAAAAGTTTTAAGTGACACAGGCATTGGAGATGTGCATGTGTGTGTGCATAAAAAATATGCACTGCTTCGCACTGCAACATTTCTAAACTTTTTTAAACTTGTCAATTACTAACAAACTTAGATGCTCACATGTAAAAAGGTATAGATTGGCATTAGTACCGTATTCAGAGATTCTTTTTATGCAATAGTCATTCTATTCAATCTTTTGTTGGAGTGTTCAATCGAAGTCATTGTTACGATTTTGTAACAGATCATCGAGTACGAGTATTTCAAGTTGCGTGCGTATTCTTGTACTTTTCTCTAATACGTATTAATGATTTATATAAAATTTTGGATATGTTACAGGGTCATTTTTTAGATTTTAGGATATTAACTAATAAATATGATAGATTACATAGATTCTTTACTTACTCATTAGGATAATGAGTAAAAACTGGTTTTCCTATCGATAACTAGAACCCAATTTTAAAGAACTGTATCGCAATGGATAGTCGTTCGGTTGGTGTTCTTTCTCGTAAAGAAAACTGGAAGTTTACAAAAACTAGGTATTCAGAAAAACATCAGATTAAAAATAATTGTGCCCGGTATATGGCAACCGACTCACCCCCTATTACATGGGACTCGGAACTACATCTTACGGATTATGGACGAACGAATTGCGGAGCATAAATAGTGAAAAGTGCGTGTTACATTGTACATAATAGCACAATGTGCACCACACTATGTTAAAAATAAATAGAACATTAATAAAAATATTTGATGTATACGTCTCATGTCCAATGTCCAATGTCCAATGACTCAAAGAGCTATAAGACCACCACAGATGAAGCCCATTAGAGCCGATGCCGATACAGAGCAGCGGAGAACGTAACAGGTTACCAAAGTGCAGGTGTAGGAACGGGGAGGTTTTTAGTCATTAAGATTGACACTCTTTCTCACCTCGCCCGGGCGGGAGAAGTCACTGGATGATTTTCCGACTCTCACTCTAAAAACGTCTTATATAAATTTTGTACACAATATTTATTTCACTTAAAGTATCTTAATACCTATATTTAGTTCACCTAATACCTGTATTCAAACGTAACTACCTGGATGATAATCAAAAACCCCGTAGACCCAGTGAATTAAAGCTGTTTATGAAATATTTAGTCCATTACAGGTACGATAGTGTAAAGTACATACCTGTATGTCGGTATCGTGCGCTCGCGCCCATTAGCTGCGCTTACGCAACAAGCATTTAGTCCAATAGTTACAAGCGATTCTGGGGAAATGCTGTAATTTTGTATATTGCAGTTTAGTTATGTACTTTAATATTGTAATTATATGTAAGTAGTCAATACATTTTTATTATTAAATAAACTAGTTTGTTATGTAAGAGTTTGTGTAATGGGAATGATGTTTTGATTCTGGGTAGTAGTCAAAACTATATAACTATGTAATAGAATTATCGCTGATATGACTGTTTCTAGCTAACATAGATATTACCATTTTTTACTAGTATATTGCTAGTTCCTAAAACAATGAATAGGCTATCACAAGTATTTCATTTTTTTCTTTCTTATTTTAAATTTTTTTAATGTCCTACACTAGGATTTTGCTCCTGTAGCGTGGGTGCGTTTCCAAATATATAAGTTCACATACACGTTATACCCAGACCCGGAACAACAATCTGTGGATCACACAAAGAGTTGTTCCGTGCAGGAATCGGACGCGCTACACATTGCGCAGTAGCCACTTGCCTAGCCACCACGTCAACCCTACAGTCAAACGATACAAGTTTTGTCTAAGGTATAAACATGTATGTAGAAATTTCAAAAACAACTTCCAACGTCTTTCTATGTTACTGAGTCTTAAATTTACAAATTCATATAGCTCTGTAGTCCAGAAGATTATGTAGTAGTTTTAACACTCACAAATTATTTTTGATGTTCGTTTTACATTGCACCGAGAATTCCAAGTGTTGAGAATTGTATATAAATCAGTGTCTAGGATTGTTCACATGACAAAAATGTATAAAGTACTATAGATACGAGTGGCTGGCTTATCTTTTATTTATAGCCACTACAGTAGCCAGCTTCCCTCATTTCAATTTTGAACGTAAACTAAAATACCTGTATAATAAGTCCTGTAGTTTTTATACCACTAAAACCTTTTTACAAATATCTATGGTTGTATTCGAATACCAAAGACAAAGAGACGAACTGTCAAGCGATGATTAAAATGTAATGGATTCATGACAATTGTATTTTTCACAAATGAATAATTATTATTGAAGATGAAATATTTATGTTTAATATTATTTCTGCAAATATCGTTCAAAGAGTGCACAATAGATATCAATATACAAGAATTAGTTTATATTGCTGATCATTTGACCGCAGTCGAATGCCGTCGACTTTTTGCTTCTTTGCATTTTGCATCCTACAATCTTCCAGTTTCTTTACCTGATGCAGAAACAAAGGTTCCTAAAGAAGTTCCATGTATAAAGCTACTTATCAAATGGAACAGTGGAAATGAGACTTTTGAAGGTAAAGGTAAAAGTCATGCTTTAGTAGAACACAGACTGCGACAATTAGGTAAAAAGGAACTAGCTGATTGGTTGGGGAAGCTAGTATTCCATAAACTGGCCAAAAATATCAATAAGTCATTGGAAGATGAATCTTATTTCGCGGTAAAAAAGCCGGGAATCAATCAAACAATCTTCGAAGACAAAGATTCAAGATTTGCTGGCCAACGATGGACTACTATAGATTCCATACTGAGTGTGACGTTATGCGGTATGCTTTTTATAACAGTGTCTGCTTTTTACCGTATGCTGAAACTCACTTTTAGAAGAGCTAGAGCAAAACGTAATACACATAAAGAACAAGAGGAACTGGTAGATTTAATGAGTGCTGTGTCTATAGATAGTGATCAAGAGACTGTTTATGAATATGACGTTGAAAATGGAAAATCGAATCATGTTAGCTTCGATCTTGATGTTGACAAGATACCAAGCGAAGATGATCCGGAAAAGTAGAATACTCTCATTATATTTGTATTAAAATAGTTTGTTTTATCTTGTTGTTTCATTTTTTGAAATGATATTGATGCTGTGGAAGAATACAAAGCTACCGTAAAACAGGGTGAATAGATACAGGAATGGGGTGAATTTTCTATTTCTAACATTTATTCACCCCTCTTCTGTATCTATTCATCCCACGAATTTTATTTACTTCGTTTTACTGTACTTATTTCTTCAACTACTTTATTAGGATATGCTGTAACTATTATAGTGTGATTATCACCTACAAAATTACCCATAGTCTATCAATTAACATTGGCTAAGTTAATTCCTTGAATCAAAGCACAGCTACCTGTCGCTAACAAGGCAGTGTGTAGCAATGCGCGCACGCAGGCATCGGCCGTGTCATCGCGGCGCGCGCGCCGATAAGCCTCATTAGTGACCGTCCTTCTTAACTTCATCAGCCGATACCATTAACTCGGGATATCGGACCAAAGTGGGTTGGCTAAATGGTAAACCTTAGTACTTTACTGAATCAACTACGGAATATAACATCACGCCTTTTGTTGTTCTTGAGGGCAGGCAGAGGTGTGATATTATTGCACTTTACGGTCTTTGGACCAGTCAACATAGCAGATGTCCGGATATCTACGTGATCAATTTGAAGATACACGAAACTTATTTTTTGCTGGCGGTGTATAGAGACGATTTTGTAGATATTCTTAAAGATTTAGGTGAACTAAACAGTTTAAAAGTGTCGAAATGCTGAAAGAATACTTTGCCTGACCTGATTAATCAACCCAAGACTTTGCTAAGCAAGCGGATACCAATCAAACAACTAAATATTCTTAGAACCTAAATTTACCTCTAATTAACTAAATTTGCAACAGTAGCATTTAATACTAAAATTTAAAATTTATTGTTATAGTGTTGAATGGTTTCTGAATAAAATTGTCATAACTCGATATATACACATTTTGTAATATAATTTCTATAGTAATAATTGTAAATCATACATTTTATACGACGAAATACAGAATAAATTAATTGTGTAGGAGTATTTATTGTTTAACGGGATTACTATTCAAGGCAGTGGGTAGCGAAAATAGTTTTAGATGGTATTTAAACTTCTTAAACTTTATACAACATCATTTTCTTACGTTGAGTGTAAAAACGAGAAACATACATAAATAAAATAATGTTCCTGGACAGCTTAAACAAAAAAAAAATACGTTAAAGTCAAAGTTAAATGCCAAATATTTTAATTAGACCACGAAAGTACCTTGTATAATCGTGGTGGCTCGGAGGTTTAAGACGCCCGCTTCTCATGCATGAGGGTACGGGTTCGAAACCTACCAACGGCAAGTACCGATATGACTTTTTCCGAGTTATATGTACCTTCTAAGATTATTTAGGCACCACTGACAAACGGTGAAGGAAAACATCGTGAGGAAACCTGGACTTATAATTTCTAATTATAAGTTTGAAATCGCCAACCCGCATTGAGCAAGCGTGGTGACTGGTGATTAATGCTCAAACCTTCTCCGTGTGAGAAGAGGCATTGCTCTGCAGTGGGTATTTATAGGCTGTTGATGATGATGATGACGTAGGTGCCTTTGAAAGTTAAACGAAAAAAAAATGAATTCTGTCAGTCTGTTGGTCAACCCTCTAGTGAAGCTATTTGGTCATTCCAAGGTGTAAATTCTTATGCAGAAGAACTAGCAAGAAACTGCATACGTTTATCTTTTTCAATCAGGTTCACAATACAATTTACTTTTACTAACTAAGAAAAAATAGTTTTCCTACTAGAAAATAAACAAGGAAAGAAAATATACACTGGCTTTGTCATAACAGGAAGGTACATAATTCGCACCTCCAATAATAATATAATTCAAGAATATTATTATTCATATACCTCGTACGTCAACGAATGAATAACTAGTTATTAGACATATTTCTAAGGAAATATTCAGTTTGAAATTACTATTATTTAGTGCCTTATTATCATTGAAATTGCATTTGTTTGTTTGAACAGGCGCCAAGGGAATGTCTTTTCCTCTAAACATAACTTCGAATCGAATTAGGTTCAGTCAAAATAAAATAACTTATAGACATTTGTCAGGTTCTTGCTACATTTTATTTTAGTAACTTAATTTAGATTTGTTTAAGCCTATTGCGGTGACTTAGTTTCAATGGAACAGTTTACGAGTTTTGTCTTATTTTAGTATTCATTTTCAGTAATAAGTTAAGTGATATAGAGTGCTTTTCTGACTAACGTTTTGTGAGTGTTTTATTTGTATCGTTGTTCTTTTTTATTATTTCATCTAGGTTTGCTAAGAATTCTGATAACGCAAACACAATAAAATCTTTTATCATCATCTACATGACGTCCACTGCTGAATGTGCTCCCCCAATGACTTGCAGATAGGCCGATTGGGAGCGACTTGTATCCAGTAAGATCTTTGCTTTACCGTAATTTTTCAAATAGTTTTTATTACAGAACAATTCATCAATAATAGGATACTACTGTTGGGTGGATTCTATTAAAACAGATAAATACAATGCTACTCTGAAGTTTTTTTGATATCTTTGCATAAGCTAGAATGAGACAAGGCGACGACGAGGCTCACATATCTTCATTACATACGACTTTACATAATAAAATTATTAATACTCCCATCGGCGACTTTTATAATAAATATTTGATATAATATAATCTGTCGTATACTATATGTTTGTAAGGTTTAGCCTACAGGCGTGCCTGGCTGAATAAACATTAATTCGTGTAATGTAACGTAAGCCGTCGGTCGCATTTTGCCGGCAACTAAATTAATTCGCTTAGGGAAAGTTGGGTTCAATATTTAGCTTATTAATGTTGTAAGTCTATCTCTTTGCATTATTATATACTTTTTGATATCATAGATTTATTCAATATCAATATTTATACCAATTACCTCTATAAAGCTGAAGAGTGTGTTTGTTTGAACGCGCTAATCTACAGAACTACTGTAAGTTCACTGTAAATCCAACTCATTGTAAGTTTAAAGCTCTTTATTTTCTAACTAACTGTTCCATAAGGTGGGATGTTTGCCGTGCCAAGAAAGGGAAAAAAGTTTAAAAAAGATAGTTTTCTGTGTAGTGTTTTTTTAAAGGATAGTTAGACATCAATCCATAATTTTACTCCGTTGTAACTTGAAAGACAAACAAACAAACACACTTTTGTATTTATAATACTAGCTTCTGCAAGCGGCTTCGCCCGCGTTTTCGCGGGATAAAAAGTAGTGTACTTGATAATCCAGACCATAATCTATCCCTGTACCAAATTTTATCCTGATCCCTACAGCCGTTTTGACGTGAAAGAGTAACAAACAAACAAACAGACAAACAAAGTTTCGCATAGAGATATGATTTGCAGTGTCTTAATAATAAACCTTTCTAGGTAAAGTGTAGATTATATCATTTGCTTCTAGAAATTCCTCATAACCTTTTGAAATCCAATAATATGGCATTCATTGCATATTTTAGTGATAGCTATCAAGTATGAAATTACCATCCTTCATCCATTGGATGGCATTTCTCGGTTTCTTAAGTCAGTTGTGTCATAAATAAATAGTGTTTTGTAGAAATTATGAATATTGTGATTTAATGTCATATAAATATGCTTAGGGTCGTTCGGTGTAGTTTGCGTAACGTTAGTTTCATTATTTTTTCATGTAAAATTTTGTATGTCATTTTTCACTGCTTCGTTGGCCGAGTGGTCGCAAGTGCGACTGCCGGGCAAGAGGTCTCAGGTTCAATTCCCGGATCAGGCAATGTATTACTGGGATTTAAAAAATCTGTAGTCTGGAAATGTGCCCCGTAGATGGCAATAGCCCCCCCCCTTATTACATGGGACTTACAACATAAATAGTAAAAAGAGGGTGTTACATTATATACTAGCATTAAGTGACGTAATGTGAACTTCTGCCTACCCCATCTGGGATTAAAGGCGTGATGTTATGTTATTTTTCAAGGTGAATAAAGGCTGATAAAAAACTTTTTATAGTGTAGTAGTAGAAGAGTTATGCTGTAATTCTATTATCATAGTGTAGACATATTTGCAAACTTTGTGTTATTAGACTGTGCATTCAAGAAATTTAAAACTCGCGTTGCCTGTTTCGTCGTTTAATATTAACCAGAACGATAAATACGTCTAGGTATATTTAATTGCAATTCAGTAAGTAGTTAGTCTACGTGACAATAGAGGTGTAGAAAGTACAGAAGTGTCTCAATAAATACCGGTAATTGGGTATTTTTGCACAATACGTAGTAGTCAACAATAGTGCAGCCAATTTAAATAAATTCGGATAGTAAATAGTTCTTAATAAATATCTTTAGGAACGTGGTCTTAAGAAAAAAATAAGGTTTAAATAGTGCTATAAGGTAGCTGCTGTTTGTCAGTACATACTTAAATATTATCTGAAAAATTTTAATTCACACAAAATGATGGACATACTTCTTCTAATTAAATATTCCTCCAATAAAAGGTGCGAGATGATAGTAAAATACATATTTAGATCATCAAGAGTAACTATTAAGTATTATCCCTATAGCAAGAGGATCAATTGCTAATTTTCATATGTGTAATACGATTCCTATAACGCCTACTTTATTTATTTGTTGACTGTAAATACGGTGTTTATTTGATCTATATTTATTTTACTTCACCCAAACTAGTCATATTTTCCATAAATAGCAATTACTTACAAATAAAAAAAATGCAATTGTACCTACCTCCATATCAATCAATACATAGTATAAAACAAAGTCGCTTTCGCTGTATGTCCGTATGTATGCTTAGATCTTTAAAACTACGCAACGGATTTTGATGCGGTTTTTTTAATAGATAGAGTGATTCTTAAGGAAGGTTTGTATGTATAATACATGCATATTGCACCCGTGCGAAGCCGGGGCGGGTCGCTAGTTATAATATAATTTGATTTGCTTGTCTAATGAGCGTCTCTTACTGTCAAACGCTAAAGTTAGCCATGTTTAAGATTTAAGGCCTCACTTATGTAAAATTTCATTAAATACATTTTTGTTTCAAAAAAAATATACCCAAAATCAGAACTAAAATGTAACCCATACATTAGTAAACAAATGCGCTGTAACTAGCAAATCAAACACCAGAGACAATGTTACAAATAGATTCGAACGCACGTGCGCTGTATTAATGGCAGACAACGTATATTTTGAACGTTTTCATTTATTTTCTCGTGTACCGTGCACTATACGATATACTCAGAAACAGCGGTGCTATTCTGAAAGTTCATTTTGTAAAGTTACTTCTGAATGAGTGAGATTAAATTTTTGAATTCAGAAAATAAGAGAGTTCGACATATTGACACTACGCGTTGATGGTAGTGAGGAGATTTATCCTAAGTATTTTGACATTTTGAGTTGTGGCATTTTAACATGTTTTATAACCGAATCCAAAAAAGAAGCAGTATATATTTGTCGGCAAATATCACGCCATTTGCTAAACCAATTTACATACAGTTTTCAGGCAAGTATTTATCATGGCCGAGTGGTCGCAAGTGCGACTGTCGGGTAAGGGGTCTCGGGTTCGATACCCAGGGCGGGCAAAGAATATCTTGGATTAAAAAAAAACTCAGTAGTAGCAAGGAGTCTGAAATTGTGCCCGGTATATGGCAATATTCTCTACCCCTTATTACCCATTTATGAGTCCCATGGCTCACATGACATGCAACGGCTAGTATTTGTCATACTTAAAGTGATTCTCAGTTTCATCCGTATGTATCTAAGTTTGTCCCCGACTATTCAGGAATTTTCAAAGCGTGATTTGCGAGACGACTCTTGATATGAATATACCGTTTTCAGAATAGCACCGCAGTATCTACCTAGCTAGTTAATGTGGGTGTTAGGATTAGAATAATCTTTATTTATTACCTTTATTTCTATGTGAGTTAATATATTGGCGATAAGTTGAGTTATTCGAAATTATCTAGTTATGAGAAGTGATGCCGGTGAGTTATTGGCAACGATTTAAATTGAAATTTAGTTGTTTATGATATTGTAATGTATTTTGTGGTATTTGGAATAACATAATACTAAGAGTTTTTAAGTGAATTATTCTAATTCAGTATTTAAGCGTGACTACGAAGCAAGAGGTGATATATTTAGTGCCCGAGTTAAGTAAAACATCTATTTATGAGGATTTAAAAATATATTACATAACATCACTCCTTTTTATCCCCGAAGGGGTAGGCAGAGGTGCACATTTCGGCACTTAATGCCACTATACAATGTAACACCCACTTTTCACTATTTATGTTATAAGTCCCATGTAATAGGGGGTGAGCCTATTGCCATATACCGGGCACAATTCCGGACTCCGTGCTACTACTAAGTTTTTTAAAAAACCCAGTAATACTTTGGCCGACCCGGGAATCGAACCCGAGACCCCTTGCCGGGTAGTCGCACTTGCGACCACTCGGCCAACGAGGCAGTTTATGAATTAAAAATATATAGAATTTCGCCTGATGTCTGACAACATGTTCCATTAGGTGGAAAGTACCAGTATGTTGTGACTACAAAGAAGAAGATTAATATTAATGGCAATCAATTGGTTTGTATTAGGTTTAGCTATGAGAAGCAGATATATAATTGACTCTTAATCATTAATCGTGGAATTATCTTTATTGTCAACAAAACCTAGTTAGTCTTTAAAGTAAATTCAAAGTAAAGTTTAGTCTAAATACAATTGACACATCTTAAAACTGCTATAAAATTTACTTGTAACAATACAACCGACACACATAAACAACCCGATTACTTCCCACCCATACCTCAATACCTCAAATACTGAGGACACATAAATCCTTCAAAATTAGCAATAGAAATGTTATAAAAAACCACATAGAACACACTGCCGACTTCCGTTGCTGTTAACCACCGGAACTGAGGGACATCAAACGATTTCGACGGTTCTCACGACTTCCCAATAGTGTGAACTAGGCTTATAATTGTAAGCTCGTTAAAACCTCATCGGATAAGCCTTATTATTACTGATTAAAAGAGTTTATAACTTTAATAATTACTTCGAAAGCTTGCTACTCATAACCGCCCGTGATTTAATCGTATATGGGTCTAATTAATTTTCTATAAAAACTAATCGTGATGTGGTTATGAGATGAATTTATTAATTTTGTTTAAACTAGTTGTTTGGGGTCTCGCTTCTTGTTAATTGGTTGTGAAGAGTGCGGAGTTTTATGGGGTATTGCGGTTTTAATTTTTGCGTGTGAGTCATACTGATTGATCCAAACACGGATAACTATCGAATTTGTAACGTAATAGTATCGAGCACTCTGATTGGTTGATTCTCTGGAGCCGGCCAATCAGAGCACCGAACGCACTCAATCCTATTAAAATAATTAGCTCAGGTACTCTTTCTAGATTTAAGGTTATGTCGATTTGATGGTGAGAATTACCTATGACCAAACTTTGCCTATAGTCTAAATAGACAGTCTCCTGTTATAACGATATTATTGACAAAACTAAAGAAAAGTCTCTGTTATTATGAAACGAACCCTATAAAACGTTTTGTAATGTTTTATGAACTTCCCAGTTAAGTAAGATTGTAGAATAACCGATATTTGTTTTGGGAATGATGATATTTGTGTTTAAGATAAGGGCTTTTCAGAAACTTATCTATATGTAGTTTAAACAAAAGTTTACAAACATTTTTACATAACATAACATCACGTATTTTATCTCCGAATGGGTAGACAGAGGTGTACACTATGCCATTGTACAATGTAATACCCACATTTCACTATTCATGTTTTAAGTCCCATGTAATAGGGGGTGTAGGTAATTATTAATAAAAGTGCAGATGAAATATAATTTCCTCAAACCTCTGAATTTAAAATTCATAACTAATTATTTCCAAAGGCCTCCTTTAAAAAACTTTGAATACCAGTGGAATATTAAACTCATCGTTGGCATTTCATTCCAATCACCGACATATTTATGGTCCGAGATCATTAAGAGAGATTTAGCATTATAATAAACAAATAAAGAGCACTAAAATATTAAGTTATTAATCCAAAAATATTTGTATAACGGGCAATATCTAAATAGCACCCATATGTAACATACTAATACAATTCAACAATCAAAATTAGCCTCTATTTCTTTTGACTTAAGGTTGTTTTTGCGCGTGAGTTTCAAAGTTCGGCGTTCCTGCGCGTGAGCATTCAATTACTAGTAATAACGTGAGTGTATCGAAGCCTATCAATTTGTCAGTCTGTCTGTAACCTCTTTATATGTACATTTTATATTCACTTAAACATTTTGAAAGTAAACTTGTTAATTATGCTCTCATCAGTTTCGTAGGTAATATTTTAAGTTAAGGCTCCAGTGTGGGCGATTTAATTTATGAGTGAACTATTCAAAATGACGTTTTTATTGTTTTATTGATGGGATAAAAATTGTGATGAATTGAAAATAGAGTAACGTATTTGAGGCTCATATTTAATACCGTACGGAATACATAATAGAGTACATATACTTATTAATGTTAATTTGAATATAAAAATAGTTTCTTTTTATCTAGAGGTAGATACTAGTTAAACGTAAGTTACAGGCAATTACTACATTGTCATTTTATAGGACATATTGTATTTTCAACCGACTTAAAAAAAATGGAGGAGGTTCTCAATTCGGTCTGTATTTTTTTTTATTGAATCATACGTCTTTGTGGCGACGAGTTTCGCTTTCAAATCCGATATAAGTTGTATTTTATATGGTAATCAAAGAGAGAACTATATTTCATCAATTTGTAGTTGGATCTGTCATTATATATTATAACTTCCACGCTGACAATTGGACCCAACCCCCAAAATACGACCTCGCACTTTGACTGACGTTACAATTTTAATACGATATAAAATAAATGATTGAAACAAATTCCCCAGAATATCGACGATTAAATGTAAGATAATTACACTTTCAAAAACTCTATTTATTTTTTGTTACAAATGTCAAAATATCAAAGTTCATGATGTCAAAATGATGCGTCGAATAAAAACTTTCATGTACAATTTCAATGGTTAAATTTATTACTATTTAAATACAAATATACGAATAATATTATCACGTCACTTTCATTAAAATGTTCTTCAACGTCAAGATTAAACTAACATCTCAATTAGTCCACGTGCAGGCATATTTGCAAATTGACATAGCAGACCAACTTCGAAGTCGCGTTTACCGATTTTTACACTCACAAAAAATTTAGGGATCACGTAAATGTGAGAGAGCCGTGCTTCGGCTGAGAGTTGAGATTTGTTCATGAATTCTGTGAGGCCGTGGAGTGATACCACGGCCTCATAGAAAACCGACGTGAAATAACCCTTGCGTTGTGTTTCTTCATGTGGGTGAGGTTACCGGAGGCCCAAAAACCCCCCTCCCCCCTTCCCAATCTCTCCAATCCTATATCTCTAATATTCCTCAAATTTCTAATCCCCAAATGGCACGCACTTGTGTTCCAGGTATCCCCGGGCGGCACCGATTGCTTACCATCAAGTGATCTGTCTGCTCATTTACCGGCTTATCTCATAAAAAATTTAGAAAACACACTTAGGGTTTGTTCGTTTAACATGTTTTTTGCGTCTTGTAGTCCTGTCCTCGAACGCACAAATGACATCAGCAAAAAGAAAAAAAAAACGCAAATAAAAGTACATTATTGCCTATTTCCAAAGATAGACTACAGGCAGTTGGCATTAAAGGCACTATTAGACACTACAAATTACCACTACAAAGTTACTAATAAAAACTTACTTTCTGGTCTCCAAACCGCATTTGTCGTCTAGCATTCCTGGCTACGTTCATTCGACAGAGGAACACACGGTCCTCTCCATCAGTTGGTGCTCGGGACAATTCTGTTCTCACTGCCTGCTGATCCTGTTTGTCTATCACGTCGTAGACACTGTCTCCGTGGATTAGGAGGTCCTCCTGCGGAAGATAGTACGTGTTAGTTTTCTTTGAAGATTATTTGATCCTGGTCAGTGGTCACAATATGTTTTATTTATTTATTTATTTATATATGCTTTATTGTACACATTTATGTAGTTTAAAACAAACAATTAAAAAAAAATCTTTAAACCCAATTCAAGTAAATATGCGTACAATGGGCGGTCTTATCACACAATGGTGATTTCTTCCAGACAACCTTTGGACGGAAATATTTGTTTAAGATATTGTTGTAGCAATATTTTTCTTGTACCGTAATTAGGCACGTGTAGATAACTTTTATTGATACAATCATTTGCTAAAGGTAATAAGGCATCGATGCAGTTGCTGTAAAAGTTACAAGTCAAATAGTCAAAGCATTTATTTCAATTAAACCATAATTTGGTACTTTTGAAACGTCAACAAATACAAAATAAATAATAGTCTGTCAGTCAGTCCGTCAGCACATTCAAAAATATAGATTCGAATGGAGAAGAACGAGCAAGAAACTCCATTCGTTACTCTTTTTAAAAAAGTATGTTCTACAATGTCTCTGATACATATTACATCAGAGACATTTTATCACAGACAAGTAGCATTCAAATACGAACTTTAGTGGTTACCCATACACAAACACATAGTAGAAAAGTACAGCTAGTTTAGGCACAAATCAATTATTATCGTCAATAGTAGTACGTATTATTGTGGTTAAAATAATTAACAAAATCATGTAAAATCAAGACTAAGTACTTCCTTTAAAATCCCGCACAACCATGAACATTAAAACAATAACACCCGTGCACCGTACGGTACACTCATTCATCCACAAATAATTCTAGACGTAGGAAGCACTGAGGTGGCGGCTCTGCGATTAAAATAATACACCCTGCGGTCTGCACAGTGATGAAAATGTCGAACCAATCTCTGTAAGTATACGCCTCTTTAAAAATAAAAGCATTTGCTTTAAGTTTGCGGCGACGGATCCAATGGTGATGGTACCGCAATTAGCATTCCGTGTGCACTGAGCCTTTCTTTTGTTGCTATTGTTTTGATTTTAAGATTTTCTAAGATTCTTCTATGGTATATTGGTATTAGAAGCTTATAAGAATATAATGCGTTATATCCTGAAGGATCAGGTCATGTCCTCATAATCTAATATGTTCTTTTACAGATTTTGGTAGTGGTTTTATCGCTATATGATCAGAAAAGTTTTAGTAATATTAAAGCGTTTGTCTCTAATTCGTTGATTGATAACAGTGAGGACAATCCATTGCACACGATAAACTGCTAAGTAACGATGTAACCCGGTCTTAATTTGACTAGTTTTAACAGTCTACATATGACTATATCAATGTATCCTATAATGATACGATTAACATAATATTATAAACCCACCATTTCTAACGGTAAAGGTTCAGGGACCTTTCCAAGATCCCGTGATTCATGGCTTGCGTGGACTACCAGGACAGTTGAAGATGGGCACTAAATCGTAACTAAATTAAACATGTAATAGAACATTAGTTATCCATTTTATTGGACAGATGACTGTATTATATACTCTACTAAATAAGCCATTATAACTGAGTAAATTTTATGTAGTTCTAGATAGAATTTATAACCGGCAATTATGATTTTATAACTTCCTAACTGCCAACGTTTTGACCTAGGGTCAATAAAATTGTAGTACCTAGGGTACATAATTTCGTCTGTACTCTGTATAAACAAATTTCAATTAACCCGAGACCACTTTAATAACTTTAATTAAATCATATTTCTTCCAGCAAAGTAAAGCACAACAGAATTTTCTTTAGATTGCTAGTGTTGCGTTTAGCTTAGGGTTGTCAAGAGATAATTGTACGTAATTTCTTGAATTATTACTCTGTTATTTTTTGTTTAGGTTACTTGACTTTGCTGTACACAGTTTGAGTGTTTATTGTAGTTTCAGTGATCGTAGAATCTTTACTTTCCAGGTTTTACCTAAAAAAGATCCTGGTTAATAAGTCAGAATCCTAGTTAATTTCGATTTACAAAAGTTACGATTATACAAAGTATGAGAGTTAATCTTAGTTTTAATTGGCAAACAGAAAACTGATAGTGATAACCTAGTATCCATGGTTTTATGTAAGGCTTGTAATAGTTATGACAATAATTAATCCGTAATAAAATTATCAAAGTATCACAAGCTTATGTAAGTCCAAGTTCACCCCTGACGTTGACGTCACGGCGCGTCACTTGGCCACGCCCACCTGTCGCGAACTCTCCGCGTTAAGACATAATAGTGCGCGCGCGCTCCACCGCCCACGCGCCTGCGCCTGAGCCACTGCGCTCTACCCGTGGGGGGCGTCCATGTGAACTAGCAAAAATGTATGAAGTAATCTTCGTTTGTATTTTGAAAAATGTCTAAGGTCTATATTTGTAGGTATAGATGTAGGTAAAGAATGGTTCAGTCAAGTGAAATAAAAATTATTGGTACGGATACCGGACAGGCGTCCTATAAGCATAAAATACAAATAATGGTTTGAACCCAAGACGAGTTGCTCAAGAGAACTGAGAAAATGATTGACGTTTCTTCCTGGTGTTCAGTGGACACGATTATAAGAAGTAAAAACTTAACTCAGATATTAAAAAAAAGTGTTTAAGGCACTTGTGACGAAACTTTTTCTCTAAACTTAAGAAGACTTCATCTTTATCTCAAAGTAACCTACACGAACACAACAGTCATAGACCACCAACATTGTTTGAACTTTCCCGTACCTACGGAATTGTCGGTGAAATGAAATTAAACGCACACATTGCATCTAATTGCCGCGGGCAGCCACGCCCTCTAGTGATGAACATACGTAAACACAGTAATGTATGCAAATACGTCAGTTGTGAACAGCTAATTGTAGACCCGTGCCGTATTATGGGAATTTAAATGGACCATTTAGATTTTATGGAATTTAATGTTTGATCGCTTATAAGGGACATGCCCAAAGGCCGACAGAAAAGAGGTTTTTATTAAGTGTTCTATAAGTAGTTGACACCAAAGTGATAGAGGGTGATCACCAAATCAACTGTAGAAGGTGGAGATTATGCCAAAATCTTTTTAGGTAGAAGAGGCTTATATGTATGTATATAGCATAGTCCAGCAGTGGACTACCACAGGCGGTTTTTGATGACAACATGAATAAAACTTTCTTTTGATAGAGATATTCTGTAATATCTGATTAGGGATATTATAATGTTATCTTAGCCACTTTTCAAAATGAAGTCTCCATTCAAAGCCAAAATCAAAAAGTGAAAGATATAGCAGGCGTTACCGATACAATATCTCAGAAAATAATTGTGTTGTAAAATCGCTGTTGTGGATTACACCATATGATAGCCGTGGGGACCCATAAATCCCTGACTATTGGGCAGGGGACCGTAAATTATGTGCTAAAACCTCAACTGCACGATTTCACTCAGAAATAAGCACCTGAGCGAACAAGCGATAAATTCATTCTAAAGTGAATTACATCACTGACACCTTCAAGTTATTTGCTTTGATTTTTATATTGATTAATGGGAGCGTAATTATTTCTTTTCGGTGCTTCGTTAAGACTGCGTATTACTTCATTGCCATAAGGTATCGTATGAATTTCTCTACGAGTAATTGGGATATTTCAAATTGTACTTAATTTTAGTAACTATGTATATTACATCAACTATCCGTGAATGTTCTCTGTGGGACTATGAACCTTCTCTACATTGAATTGGTTTGTCATATTCTGCATGTTTACCAGGCGGATTGAAGACTGCAGTTTCATTTTTTTTTTCAGAATCTGTATCTGCCTTCAAGGTAAAATGGGGGTGATTACTAATTATAGCATATAATTACAAATATATATTATTGGTCTCTGCCCGCGTCTTCGTACGTAATTCCGTTTTCTCCCGGTCCCTTAGAATTTTAAGCAGTTTTTTGTGTCAAAAAGCCTTCTCCTATAAATACTGGAATCAGTTCAGCTGTTCACGCGCGATGGCGTCACCAAGAACAGGGGGATACATATTTACATATAAAGATAGAACCAAACAGACAATGATATAGAGATTCCGTACCAGTCAAAGTGTTCGGTCCAAATAGAGCCATTTTAATACAAATGCGATTTCCCTCTCAATGAGCAGCCATAATAAATAAACAGACCACGAGACTTCATTACTAACTGAATCTGTTTATTTAACAACATTAATACGGGTTCGACTCCGCGGTGGGCCATTGAATTTATATTTGTAGCTTTTGAATTATTTGTACTGCATTCTGTTGCTTTCACTTAGTGTTGGGGAATGTTGGCATTATTACGGTATTCTTTGATTTTGTTACAAGATATTGCAAATTATAAAATAATTTAACTAAAAATCGGGTGGCTTACATGAAAATACTGAGAATAGCTCTACTAGTTTCGAACTACCACTATCACTACTAACAGAACCGCGTTCGCTCTTCATGAGGAAGAACCCTTCTATTGTCCAAAACGAGTTGAGCTATTCTCAGTATTTTCACGTGAGTTTTCTGCGATTTTTAGTTAATTGAGTAGATCAATTAATTTGTTAAGTAGTTCGTTAATTAAATATTGGTGATATGATCGCACACTCGAAAACAATCTTTGATAGAGTAATCAAAAACAGAAACACATGACTACAGTTCGGTTATCATGTCAAAAGTTGAAAAACTTAAGGTTGTTGCAGATAAGATTATAAGGTCTGTTGAAACTGGTGTCAAAGTCAGTAATTTTTATGTCTAAAATTGATTTGGAGTCAGAAAGTTAAAATCATCCATAAACGTAGTAGGTTGTGAACTTACGACCTTTAGTTCAAACATGGCAATACCTGTTAAGCTATTGTTACCTCAAACTATTACTAATTCGCCAACAATTCAAATCGATTTCAATTACATCGAGTAAGGGAATCGATCGGCCCATCACTATAAGCTTTCTATTGAAAAAAATACGATATTTTCAATCGATTTTAATATCGATGATGAC